TGGAACACAATTCATCTCTTCCGTAACAGTGGTGGAGTCCGCGGTTCTGGCTCACATTGGTTATATGATGGTGGTGCGTTTGTCCAGAAGAGCATGCAGATTGGGAAACCTGTCATTTTGGTGACCATCAAGTAGGCACTATCATACCCATCCTCGCAGTTTTCGCTAAACTCTGCCCCCCTTCTCAGCTACCGGCTTGGTCTGCTGGGATTTGCGTGCAGTGCTCCTCTTCGTGAGGACAACGAATCGTCTGGCGACCAAGGAGTGGGTAACTACGGTAAGCCTCTCCACCTAGTCTCCACGCAACGTATACAGAGGACTGAGTTTGATCTTGACAGGTCTTCGTGATCAAAGGAGGGCAATGGAATGGGTGCACAAGTACATTTCTGCTTTTGGCGGAGACCCATCGAACGTAACCCTCTTCGGTGAAAGCTCGGGTGCAACCGATATACTCTGCCACCTGAATTCTGCCGACAATGAAACTCTCCCGCTCTTCCACCGGGCAATTATTCAAAGCGCGTCGATGGACTTGGACATCCCCGCCGTGCATTCCGCAGGATGGCAGCTTGGCAAGATGATGTCATCTCTTCAAGTGCACAGCGTGGGTGATATGCGCGTAGTCCCCGTCGAGAAACTCATTGGGCTGAACTACACCATTCGTGCGACCGACGACGGTGTTTTCTTCCGTCCAGGCTGGCGCCAGGCGTTATACCCTGAGCAACTATACACGGTCGAGCCTTCACGGCCTGTGTCGCATCGACGTGTGCACGATCACTTGGACGTTCCAGAACTTGAAGTTCTCGCTCAACATTCACATCCCCATCATCACTCGCACTCCCACGCGCGCTCAGCTTCACGTTCCCGGAGCCCATACCACATACATCATAAGACTCGTCAGCCACTCATCATAGGTGACTGCGGCGTGGAGTCTATTCTTTGGCAGTTGCCTGCCAGTTTATGGACGTCTGCGGGAGCCGTGAAGCGGATACGAGCCGTTTGCCAATCGTTGGCAAAGTCAACGGCCTTGCTGCGTGCCTATGACATCAACTCGTACACGCCCGCTGATGAATTGCCCGAGCGAATACTGGAACTGATCAACGACGCGCGCTTTGCTTGGCCTACTGAACGCATTGCGAGAGCTGCGAAACATGAACGTGGCGGACATGGTGTCTGGAGGTACGTTTTCGATCAAGAAAGTCCAGCTCGTGGTATCCCTCACCACGCTGTCGACTTGATGTATCTCTTCGACACTGTTCCTTTGCCTTCGCTCGCCCCGGCTTCTCCCCCCGAGGCGTTTGACGTATCCCCCGAGATCTCCCACCCTTGTACTCCCCCGACCCCTGACATGATCTACTGCTCCGACTCGTCATCTGATGACGACGGTCGTGTCTCCCCTGACTTTGGATTCGGCGGCGTCGATGACGAATGGGGCGTCCCTGTCGTCGACGAATACGCGTACAGTCGCGTACGAGACGCCATTCAGAGTCGTTGGCTTGCTTTCGCTTATGGTGAAGTCCCCTGGAACGAAGACAAGGTGTTTGTTTTCGGTCCGGAGGGTGAGACCGGTGAGCGGTCCATGAGTATCTTCACTGGTCGGAGGAGAGTCCAGGCTTGGAAGGACGCGTTTGAGCCACTTGGGATGCAAGTCGTACAGAAGGTTGGCGTGGAACTCAGTAATGGCCCTCCGCTGAGTTCGAAGACCTTCTACTAGACGCGTGTCCTCCTCACATTTCATGCTGTACTCTCTCCTCCCTCTTCCTTCCTCCTCCTCCTTCTGCTCCCCTTCCACCCCTCCTATACCTCGTTTCCCAAAATCCCCCTTTCCCCCAAAACCAAACCCAAAATGTACCACCAACCCCCTCGCATTGCCCCTGCTCTGCTCGTGCTATTTGGTTGTGTCTGCTCTGCATCGTTATCATTTTTTTCTCTTTGTCTTCATGGTACACACGCTGAACCATCTCATCTCGGTTGTCATTCCAAGGTTCTAGGATACCTCCCTTCCACAATATGCCCCCACCCACCCCCTCACACGTTTTAACACTTATGTTATTTCCTCACTTCTGCTATAGCGATATCATGTAACTTGTACGCTTACGCTTACCGGTACCCCCTCATACTTTGCATACATTTGTACAATTGTACATTATACATTAAAACACGTTTTGTACCGCTAGTCCTAGTTTGGTTGGAATTGCATGCTATCACTGTTACACCCTCACGAATTCGACGGGGTGTTTTTCGAACTGTCCTTTTGCGCGATGTAGTTTTCATCGGCTGTACATTGGAAAGGTTGGAAACTCTTCACTCGGTGTAACGCAAGAGCGTTCGAGTAAGGAAGCTAATAGCTAATTCGACCCCACGTTGAGGGGTCTCGACAACCTTGCAATTGAGCCACTTGAGTACCTCTCTAACCGGTCAGAAGATGAGACAGACACCCGAGGCACGTCTCCCTGTCGGAGACTAGTCAGAAGGACCAGGTCGGTGTGATAATGGTTTCCTCACTCGGGCGCTGACGGGGGTCAGTGACAACAACACTTCACGGGGCATCTTCATGGCAGTATTGTGCTTTATGCGTGCGTTGTTCGAACAATAGACAAGGTTCGACGAGGACGGCACTTCCAAAAGTAAAAGTCATATGCTCTACCACATACCTTCGTAACTCGTAAGGGACATCGGTATAGCTTGTACGGCGAGTTAGGAGTAGCCTCCGGAGAATGTGGTCTCTGTTCCGAATCAATTCAGCGAGAAGAAACGGCGCCCTACTATCGCAGCTTTCAAGCGTTTCAAACTTCAGTCTTGAAGCTTGTTGTCCCTGGGAGGATTTACCTGCTGACGAGCAACGATAGCTTACCGTTAGATGATGCTCAAGATAGGTCATATTGACAATGGCCCTGGTGGAGATACTTGGGATCTGCTGCACTGGTCAGTACTGTTTGTATTGCGGATTGAGGAGGAATGCTCCTTACGGACATACGGGTTCCCATACGATGGCGATAACAAACGAAAGACCGCGCATACATAACCAGTGCTTGACAAGGTGGGCGATCCGTCTTGAACTTCGTACCAAGTATACAGCCTGTGTAAGTTACAGACCCAGGATACTTGTACTTCGTACGGACGTGCGTGTTCCCATAAGGTGGTTATAAGGATTACAACGCCGTGCAAACGATGTGTAAAGACTTCGGATTTGGGCGGTGGGCTGTGTCGTGGCTGCGTGAGAGGGGTCGCGTGGTGTTCATGAACGGAACGAGGTGAAGATTCAAGCTGGGTCACAACAAGCTGCCATCGTCAGGAATTGCCACCAGAGGATATAACACACCACTGTGACGTCCCTGAATCCTGAGGCCGGAGGTTCAAGGAAGGGGGATATGTTCATATTCCGAAACAGAGTGCACAGTGGACAATGGTGCGTCGTAACAATAGGCCCCGGGCGTGGCTGATCTTCATGATAATCGAGGACAGACCCGGGTGGCAAGACACACGGAGGGCGAGGGAGAAGCGTGTAACTCAAGCGTGAGATGATTTCCCTGCCCCAAATTACTCGGATGGTACCCTGTTGATCCATGTATCAATGAGAAGATTAACCAAAACGGGAAGATGGGAACTCAGCCTTAACTCAGCCCTTCACTTGAACTCAAACCCGGCACCTGGGACCGGCTGTAGTCTGAAGGTGTATTCGGCCTTAAATACTGCTGCTCGAGCTGAGTGGCCTTTTCACATACACTACGTTCTTGTTCCACTGCCCCATTCCAACAGAGTTAGCTTGCGCAGTGGCACCCTTACCCTCCCCCCGCAAACACCTCTGTACCATCTCCAACAAACGAACTTTACGGGCTCCGCTTAAGCAATGCTTGAAATGGACCAAATCCTTGTCATGCAAATGCAACTACAACAAACGGTTAGTGGGGAACTCGCTTCGCCAGTCGTTCACCGGTCTTACCTTCAGAGATGTAGGAAGGCACACAAGTCTACCCCGAGTGGGTGAATGCATTTGCTTCGTCCCACTTCAACACATTAGAACCCGAGACAATGCCAGAAGGGCAAGATGTTCCCGAGTTCGAGTTCAAGATGGCCGGGGACAATGAGGCCATATGGCCCTGGCGAGAGCCAAACTCCCCCGAACAACATGACACCCCTCCGTCTCCCGGTCCCTCCGCAACATCGACTAACCAACCCCTCATGAATCAAGCGGACACGTCAGACATCATCTCAATCTCATTCACATTCGAGGAGTGTCTGGCATTGACTTCCTTCACATCCCGTCCATGCACTCCTTCGCATGACGCTCCGCTCTCAGCCTTGTTTCCCCCGGAAGACGAGACGGCAGCCCAATGGGGTCCTGTCCAACTTCCAGAGGAAACAAGCTCTGAGTACGATGCGTTCGCATGGTCTCCGTGGTTGGGGGACGGCAACGGAGAGACGGACACGTCGTCGAGAATGTACACGGGCTCTGGAAGTCCGGTAGTTGAGACCCCTGGTCATTCGGATAGTGGTGGGTGGGCTTTCGAAGGTTGGCTAGAGGATGGGTCGGATATGGAGAGGAGGGACGGCATGGGGGAGGACTTCTCGATTCCATCGACGACTGTTCCTAGGGCACCACGGCTTCGAACCGTTCCACTGCCTCCCGTATGACATCGACACGCCTGAACGGACTTGTTTTCATTCCTGCTATGCCTAGGTTATACCGCTTGATGCTGGTCAGTTATCCCCAACGTTGTATCAATAGCACAGACTTATCTATTCCGGGGTGGACTTATTGTACACCTTATATATTGTACACTTACTCATTGCTCGCGAACTCACTTTTCGGATCACCTGGCGGCGATTCCGCTCCCTCAGAACGAATATAGGAATGGTGGGGGTATATGAAACCAGTTTGCCTGAAAGTGAAGACCGTCACGGTTGTCAATGAGATGAAGCCATCGGTTGCATCGTTGGCAGGCGGGGCGATAGTGGTGTCATGGTTAACGTTATATGGCCCAAAAGAAGCGTCGATTCCAGGCGAGATGGCCGAGCGGTCTAAGGCGCCAGACTAAGGTTGTTATCTGGTCCGAAAGGGCGTGGGTTCGAATCCCACTCTCGTCAAGAATATGTTTTTTCACTTGCAGGTGTTTTCTTTTTTCTCTCCCACAGCTCAGCCTGCCTCTATGTAGGCGCTACACTTGCTTCGAATTCAATATTCAGGCTATTCCCCTGGTTGCCCAAAATCCTTCGCTCTTTACTGGATGTCACTTGGCTATTGCGGGTTCTATTGCCTCTTCAAGTTGTTGAAGTCAACGGATAACTTTCAACTTCCAGCGTAAATCTTCGGTTGCTTTCACTTACAAGTTACAACTGACCTGTGAAGATGCCTGCCAGGAGTCAACTAATAGTCACGATGTGCCTGACTGAGGACTCATACAGCATTAATATTGCGCGATATCGTCTCTAACAACATCTTGCTACATCAGTTTGCCAGTGTGCCTTCCGCCGTCGAGTGGAACAATTGGCATCCTCTATTTGAATCGAAACGGAGGCCTCCTGCGGATTGGGATGGCAGCCCCGTCAGCCCTTCTAACTTCGTATGAATCCCGTCCGTCATGGTTCACTTTATACCCATTTCGTCCCATCTCACCCACCACTTGCTGCACCATTCCAGTCGTAACGCGCAATGTCTGATATCGTCGTTCGTCAAGTGAGTGTTTCTCTTTACTCAATGAAAGCCGCCGGACTCATTCCTAACCCTGTCAAAGGTTGCCCCTAACGTGACAACGTTCTCGAGGTGAGCTAAATACGCGAGAATTATAGCAGAATATTCTGAACTGACCAAACCCATGACAGGCCCTTTACACGATTTCTCGGTCTCTTCCCGATGGGAGGAAGGTCTACTGCTATCAAGCTCTCAGATGGCTCGGTGTGGGTCATAGCATCCACCCCTCTAAGTGCTGAGACGATGGAGGCAATCAGCCTCATGGGTCCTGTGAAGTGAGTTCCGCGTGTGTCCCTCCGTGTTCGTGTTTGATGTTGCTGAACGGGATTTGTGCGTTTAATATAGGTACATATTGGCGGCTTCGGCTGACCACCATCGCTTCTTGGCCGAGTGGCATAGGGCATACCCTAATGCTAGCATCATCGGCGTGGAAGGTCTTCCAGAGAAGACGAACGCGGAGGGATTGAGTTTCTCCGGTCGTCAGTCCTCCCAATGTGTTCAGCTGTGCGCGTACGACTAATCACTTTGCTAATAGTCTATGGTGTTGATTCGCCAGACACTCGTTATGGGTTCGAAGATGAGGTATGATTTAGCCTGGCTCTGCGTTCCTCCCTGCTCTGACCCCAAGTGTTGTCAAAGATTCAGGCATGGTACGTGTCCTGGCCCTCACCATAACTTTTTTATTCAAAGTGACGTCGCGGAACAGCTACTTCAATGGATTCGCCAAGAGAGACGTTGCATGGCTGCATATAGCCTCGAAGACTCTTATTGTAGCCGACCTCATATTTAACCTTCCAGCCAACGAACAGGTACGTATAATATTCATTAGCATGACGTTTCAACTGAAGTACCCCGACTGATTGTCATTCATAGTATACCATGTCCCACTCTAAAGCCAAACCCGCGTTCTTCATGCCCAAGTTGGCCCCGGGCAATAAGGCAATGCAAAAGTTTGTTTGGAGCCAGGGCAAGGATAAGGAGTAAGTTGTATCTTCCGCGTGAAACGTATTCGGGCTTTTATTGATGTTTTGCCTTACTCGTTCATAGAGCGATGCGACGAGACGCAAGAATCGTAGCTGGCTGGGATTTTGAGCGAATCATCATGTGTCATGGTGTAGGTTTGTTCCTTCGATGTTCTTGCTTACTTACTCACGATGTTACAGGACATCATCGAGACGGATGCAAAGAAGGCTTGGGAATCAGTCTATGCTCGTTATCTACTTTGAACATTCTCCGTCTCTCTCCTAGTATCATACCGTCCATCTATCCCACCTTACAACATGAGCTCTACTTTTGCCTCTCGTTTACGGTCACTTCATCATTTCGCAGAAATTATGGTGCGTTCTCTATCATGCAGTGAAATAGCAACAGGAATACAGAGCGGAGAAAAAAGGCATCAAATAACGTAACATATACATCTCATCGTAAGTAACCCATTATCACTACTGGCCCACACTCATATTGCAAACAGGTTTGCAATACTGTATACCCTTTAAGAATGTGTAGGGTGGAGGCCGCTTAAGCCTTTTGTTTGAACAAGCCGAAGAAACGACCTCTCTTCGCCTTCGCTTCTTGTTGTTCCCTCACTTCCCGCTCGATCTCTTCTTCGGAGATGTGGCCTCCGAGAGCGTACCACGTCACAGTGAGCATACCAATCGTCGCGGTAAGCACACATCTAGTAGAAACCAGGTCAACATCATTTTCTTCGTTTCAATAACAGTAGAGACGTACCCAGTCATGGCGCCAATACCCTTTGGCCTCCAGCCCAAGATCTGAGGGAAAGGACCAGCAGGCAATCCGGTCAAGTCTGTCGCAGATGCGTGTCCGGCGGCGTTTCCTGAAGTGGGGATACCCTGAGCCTGACATTGATCGTAAATGACTTGAGGAATGTGGTTCCGTTCTTGAGCTTGCAAGGGAGCTTCGATGAACTGGACAGCGAGACCGACTTCCAAATGCCATTCGATGTGACCTGAATTGCGAAAGTACGTGTTAGCTTGGTGCTTTCCTGTATGCTGTGACTGAACGAAAGGGAAACGTACAGTGGAATAACCAGGCTCCGGGGTTATCTGCGATGACTCGGAGCGTGACGGAGTTCATCGAGGGCACTTGAATGGTATCCCTTCGCATGGGGTTTGCTTGGCCTTCGACGAGCGGCGGGTTGAGCGACGGGTCATCGGAAGTGTAGTCTTCTGCGCGTCCAACGATCTGCATCTTATGACCGTGCAAGTGGCTATTGAACCCAAAATCAGCTTGAAAACTCAATTTCTCGTAAATTTCTATGATACTCACAAAGGATGTTTGCCAGCATCGCCGTTCTTCAATACGATATCGAACACCTCCAGATGGTCCAGTACAAAGCTGTAGGGGCCATACGCCTGTTGCGAAGTAGCGTTCTCTCCAAGTGTGACTTGGGACAAGACAGGAATGACAGAAGGTGAATTGTAGGTGATCATGTTGAACATGGCATGGTTCGTTCCGTCGTCCATTGTGTCGAACATAACCTCTAATTCGATGGTCTTGGTCGCAGGAGGCATGGGCTCGACATCGATGGGTACGAGGCTGATGTCGTCGACGTCATGGTACTCGTCAACGAAGCCCAGGTCCGTGATCGATGCAGAGGTGTTGTAGGTAATGGACGAGGTGACGTCTGCAATTGTCCACGTTAGCTCATGCTCCTTGAAATCAAACCCATTCTGACGAAAACTCACTGGGGTTCAAAGCGTCAGGAACGGTATCGAACATATCGGTGTCCATGTTAGCATGGATAGCCCAGTTGGACGAAGTATCATTCCTAGCTGTGACAAGAACGGAATACCGCTGGGCGACGGTGACACTGATCAAGTCAATAGGAGACTCCTCAACGTCGGTCTGCAAAATTCATTCAGCAAAGTCATAGAGGGAGCGAAAAGTTAACGTACACCGTCGGCCTCGATAATGCGCATCTCGTGGCCATCAATCCAGAAGAAGAATGCCGCGAATGCGCTCGTGTTGATGATACGCAGACGATAAGTCTTTCCGGGCTATGAAGAGGAAATTCCTTCAGCACGAAGCTCCAAGCGAACAAGGTGAGTGCTGTACCTGGAATGGCAGGGTGGCGTTCTCATTGAACCCGACAGCCGCAGTCACCGAATCCGGAGAGGTGCCAGCAATCGGACCAAGGTAAGTTGCGTTCTGCGCGAAGTAGATCAGGGCAGAGTCTGGATTTGCACAACGTCAAGATTACGAATACTCTGCACAGAGGGGAAATGACTTACCAGGAACGGGCTCGGCGCCACCAGGGTTGGCAATACTGATGAATTGCTTGAGCAAGTCAGCATGCTGGTCATGATACCAGTCACCCAAAACAACGGTAAACTCCTCGTCGTAGTGGTGTTTTTCCTGGGGAGGGTGGATGACCAGAGGGGCACGGAGACCGTCTACGTATTGACCCTATTCGGAAAGCGGTGTGAGTGCGCGGAACCAAATAGTTCTAATTCGCTACTGACCTTGGCATGCGAATGCACCCAGTAGGTACCCCATTGACCGGAGGTATTGACGGGAATAACGTAGTCAAACGACGCGCCGGGAGGAATGCCGCTATGAAAAGTGTTATTGTCAAGAACGCCCTCGAGTTGGAAATGATTGCAGAGACCCACCATTGACTAACACCCATAGCACCGTCCATCCAGGATGTGGAGTTGAAGAACATACCATGATGGTGCAGCGTCGAGGGCTCGTCGAGCGAGTTTGTGGCATGCACGATAAGCATGTCTGTCGAGTTGACATCAAGCGGCGGCGGACTAACAAGCTCATGTCAGTGGGAACACTTGTGCTGTCGTCGGTGAAACTTACGGCCATGTTCCATTGATGCCTACCACCCGACGAGGGAACAAGCCATCTGGGTTAGCGTCCTCAACGTAGCTGATGTTCCACCAAACTTCTTGCACGCCGGCGAGCACTGGGGCGGCTGCAGCAAGCAAGGTGAGTGGGGTCCACATGCCTGGGGAGTATCGTCTGACTGCGAGGGGCTACTCGGGCTCGAGTCTTTAAGGATGAAGACTTGCTGGCCCGGGATGGGGGGAGACAGGAGCAGGGGCGAACGGGGAAGCATCGGACGGCCGAAGAAGGGTAGATAAATACGGATTGAGTTTGGAGAACCTCGACGCACAATGTGCCCACAGGTACGCATTTCCACCGCGTAAAAGGACGGGATGCTGAATGAATCACGGCTAAGGGAGGGAGATGGGCTCGAATGTGTATCAGATAAGGCCTGGATCACTGTCGCTGATGAGATGCGAGCACCTTTCGGGTTATCTGATAGTCATGCGTCCCGCCAGTGGGAATTTCGCTCCTCGAGCGACCAGCCGCCGTCCGGAGTCCGGACAGCAAATATAGCGCGACGTTCGGCGCAACCCTG